CTAAATGTAATCCATTTGTGGGACATTTTATTTGCAGAACGCCATCGAGAAGTACTCATTCTTACCATTCACTGTATTTTTGGCCATATTTTGGATCTTCACGTATTGGAAAGTTCCCGAAACCAAGAACAGGACCTTCGAGGAGATATCGGCGCTCTTCAGGAAAGACGACTTCATAGCCATAGATGACGTGCAGTTCTCTCACAAATCAAGTTCTGGTGATATGTTTTCGCATAAGTCAAGCAGTGGTGATATCATCTTCGATGAGAAGACGTTAGAGTCATGTAAGCGTCAGAATTATGACACCATTCCTAGCACTTCCACGTCTTCCAGATTATAGTTTACTTTCATTTGGTTTTCCATATAAATCCTATTTTAATATTATTTACAAAGAGATTCTGTTTATTTAATTTATATCATGTTTTCATTTTTAATAAAGTTTTTTGTATAGAATTTACAAATTCTTGAGTTTTGTTTGTACCGTATATTTGGTTTGAATTATTGTTTGTTTGTTTGGTTTTGTTTAATTGAAACCCAAACCCACTGACACTGCCGGTGAGCACACAAGTGGACACTTACCCTATCGTTTAGGTTATCTCCATCATCACCATCACTGCCATTACGGCGACTCTTCCGACGCTATTATACCGCACACAACACCACCACCACCTAACATACCGCACACCAGTAGGAAAAAAGTAACGGTCGCCGCGTTTAACGACAATGACTTCACACCTAATCATGTGATCATTGAAGACCAACTCTGACAATGACTTACCATTTGTTATACAATACAATGACTTGTCTTTTGAACGTATGGATCAAAACTTCGGTCGCCGCGTTTAACGACAATGACTTCACACCTAATCATGTGATCATTGAAGACCAACTCTGACAATGACTTACCATTTGTTATACAATACAATGACTTGTCTTTTGAACGTATGGATCAAAACTCGCACATCAAAAGACGCGTTTGAATTTGATTTTTATGTTTTCATATATAAAGTATTCAAAAGTCTGTTCACCTGTTTTCGGATCAAAACTCTGACAAAACAAATACAACAAACGTTTTCCAAAACTAGTTATCAATGAATTTTTGTAAATAAGACTTCTATTAGTGTTTTAGATATAAAGTATTCAAAAGTCTGTTCACCTGTTTTCGGATCAAAACTCTGACAAAACAAATACAACAAACGTTTTCCAAAACTAGTTATCAATGAATTTTTGTAAATAAGACTTCTATTAGTGTTTTAGACGATTGACAAAAAATGAAATTAATGAATGGCTGTTATAATCAAAAACACTGTTGTTTTCATAAAAAGTTTTCTCATCGATAGATACAAAAAAGATTTTAATGTTTAAAACAAATCAAATGTTTGAACCGAATCGCCGGTATTTGGGGACAGCATTGAACTGCTCAACAAATCACACACCAAACCATTGTATGACATGTTAAACACACCCGAACTCCGAGTGCCCGCCCGCTCGCACACCAGACATCGCACACATAAACAGTGCCAACAAATGTTAATACAATTCACGCGACATATGAACGCATAACACATCCAACAAACACCAACTAATCATCACAACTCGTGTCCGGCTTTCTATCATCGATACATCAAAAACTTTAAACTCGAATAACAAACAAATGTTTTCTTAGAAACAAAAAGAAATTGTGTTTTCGTTACGAAACAAATCAATTATACTTCAGAAGTGTTTTTTCACAAAACGACAAAAACTTTTTTGGAAACTCAAGTGCTTTTAATTCCGTTTCATTTATTTGGGATCTAATTATCCTTAACTATGCATACGATATGTTATTCCGACGACAAGTTTTGGCCAAAAAATAAGAGATTTCTTTCATTTTCTTTTCGCGGAATCGATTGAACAGAGAATTGGAAACAAAAAGTTTGAAACAGTTTTACAAAAACTCGTTTTTGTGCTACAATTGAGTGCATCTGAAGCCACCGTTAATCGCAAATCATTAGACAAAAGAGATTTTGTTTAAAAAACAAAACTACGAAAAAAAGTTTTTATATAATAAATTCAAAAGTGTGTTACGTTTTTGTGCTTCCCTTTGGTTTTGAATGACTGATAATAACTAATAATTGGACTCTCGATGACTGCATACAACATACAATACAAACCAATTAGTTGTCAAACAATTTTGCATTGAGTTTACGAAACAAAACGACTAAACAATGAAAGAGATTAACATTTGAATGGTTAGAGAAAATGTGGTGTTTTTGTGCCTTTTTTCGAAACAAACAAAATCCTCATTACTTATGAAATAAACGACAAATTGTTTTATGTTTTTATAATATAATTATATTTATAACCGTTTTATTGGCGTTTCGTTTGTATATTACTTACAATTACTTACGTTTTCGGCCATCAGTTCTCAACTGACACTCAATTGTCTCAAAACTCAACTCATATTTCATCGCAAACTCAACACTCGTCTCGTAAGTCGTGAACGACTTGTCCGACGATTTCAACAGTCATTCAAATCCACTCTTTTCTACAACCGATTCATCCGTTTCTTTCATTTCTTTCTAAAAGAGATCTTCAATTCAATACACAAATGAATTTTCAAATGAAAAACAAATAAATCGATTGAGAAATAAATGTCAGACAAAAGCAAAACTAATAAATCGTTTATAAAAATTGAAATGAAATAAAAATAAAGTTATAATAGATATACAAAAACTGAGTTTTCATTGTTTGTTACATAAGTTATCATTTAGTTTCACATTTGATCCAATCTTATGGACACAAAATGTCTCAAATAGTGGTAAACCACGAGAGGATCCATCAAATGGTAGTCAAACATTGCATTTTAGTCTTAATACAGATATCAATAGTAAATTTGTGGTCAATTGCGGCCAACTCTGGTAAGTTTGGCATCACTTGACTGTCAATGTGTGGCTAATTAGATGCATAATCACGACAAACAGGTCCACATGTGGTGATCACCTGTTGGTCACATGTGTTGACTGTCTGTCAAAGTTGTGAATCAAAACAAATGCAATGTTTTTGTTGACAACTTTGACAGCAATTGAAAGCCAGTGTTTGGCGCTCAACGGGTGTCACATAAAAGATGTTTCATTTGAAGTGAAGTGCCGTTACTTTGAAGCGTGAGATTCATGCGAAACGGATGAATGGATTGGCAGCCAATCCACGCACTGATGTCTTGGATGCGGACGTAATTGATGTCTCGTGTGATGACCGCATCTGATGTGACATTGAATGCAATCATTGATAACCCGTTTGTCGATAAGACTAATGAAACACAAAAGCATTGATTGATTGAAGGCTTTGAGTGGAGAAGCGGTGCTCCGATTGTATCCGTCTTTTGGTGTCTCTTTGGATCGCTTCCCACCAGTGATGCCAGCGATGGTCCGCTCGTACGTGTTGTCTGTGTTGGTGCACATGTCGGCCACTATAGTCTACGGCTATTCCCTGTACTGGTGTTACACTAACCCGGATATACCGACGAAGAACCCGA